GCCTTCCAGGCACCCCGATATTATTCCACACCCACATGCCCACTGTGCCTTCCAGGCACCCCGATTTTCTCTCGTGCCCACATCTGCAGAGACAAAGCCCACAGCAGCTGGGGAAGAGCTGATGCTCCCAAAGTCTCTGGCCTGATGCCACACCCCTGCACCTCGGCCCGCGGGGCACCTAGTGCAGTCGATGCCACTGCTGCGTTTCATCTTAAATCATTCAGCCTCACAGCTCGACAACAAAACCCACTTATTCCAGTCCGGCCACAGAAGACAATTCCACACAATCGTCTCTTTCAATCGTCCGATCGCCGGAGCCGCTGTCGCCGTGTGACCCCCCAGCCCACAGAGATACTAAATGTTACTCGGGGCAAACAAAACAGCCGGCCAGCAGTGCGCGTGCACACACAAACACCCCCCCCCGCTCTGACACAGCGTTTCCACCGGCTGCAGCAGCCTCGAACCGGGAGCCTGATGAACCCCACTCATCCCGAATCCACAAGGCCCCGGTCAGCGCCAGGCCATCGCCTGGAGAGGAGAGGCGGCCCTGACACTGCTCGGCCATGCGTCAGCGACAGGGCCAACTGGTGAACGCCCGGCATTTCATCCCAGAGTTTCCCCAAAGATCTTTACTTCTGTTCCCCCCTGGGTGCCACAGGGCAGCTCTCCTGCACCTGCGGCCGCAGGGCACAGCGGATCAGGGGGGAGGAGAGAGGGATCACCTCACCCGCCGAATGAACAAACTGTGCCGGGGGATCTTTCATGACCGAGCAGGATTCGGGACTGCAGCTGGCCTCCCTCCCGGTCGATGGGTGGAAAACCCGAACCAGGCGGAAGAGCGCCCCCTACTGGTCTACACCAGCATCAAGTTTTCCGGGAAGGTCTCCCATCTCTGTTCTAACCAGAGCAGTCCTGTCTTGCTTGGCTTCTCTGCCCTGGTGAGACAGATCAGGCCAGGAGGAAGCCAAGGGGACACATTCCTTCTCCTCCTCACAACATCTCTTTTACGACAGCCTCCTTCCTGCCTTGACTTCTGTTCTACCCCTGAAAGTCCCTGCTACATTCTTCACAAGTTCACAAAAAAGAAAAAAAAGACCAAAGTATTTGACCTCGCATTCCTGGGGTTGACTCGCAGAAAACCAGATTCTCAGAGTTACTTATTGCCTTTCCTTGGCTTGTACTCGCTGTCTGAAACCATCTCTCAGCTGAATCTGCTGGGCCGCCAGAGAACATCGCATTTCTGCAATTCCATTCTAGATCTGTAACCCCTTTTCACAGAACATCCCTCCCAAAACCAGCACTTAAAATTCTGTGCTTAAACGGAGATCCAGGGCAGCTGCCTGTCCCCATCTATCTCCTGCGTTCTGAGCTTGTGCTCTCAGCCCAAGCCCAACAGCAAGAACGGGGTACAACCCTGATCCTGACATTTTCAGAGCTTTGCGGGCGGGGTGTGCCTTTAAGAGCAGGTGACCTGCCTCGCTCGGTGGAAGGTGGAGTACCTGTTTTTAAACTGAAGGAGCTTTATAGGCACGACCACTGAATTACAGCACTGCCAAAGCAGAGGAACAATTAACCTGAACAATGAGACAGTCTCCCTCCCCCGATGGGGCAGGTGGAGAGACAGAAAGCACTCCGAATCACAATGCCCCCACCCAAGCACCCAGCCCTGCATTTCAAACCACAGAGGGAGGGAGGGGCCGCCGTTGGCACCACCCTCATGTCCCCCCAGGGCCAATCCCAGGCCTGTGAACCCCCGAATCCCTTCCTGCTGGGCCTCCTGCCCGACCAGGTTTTGCGAGCAGCCCTGCACGCACATTTCTGTGGCGTGCAAACTATTCCGAGGAACTGCGAACTCGGATCCCAGCGAACCACGCCCCTGTCGAGGCCGATACGGCGTAAGAGCGCAGGCGGATGTTTTCAGGGATTTGTTCCAGCTTGATTAGTCAATTAAACAATTAAGCTAATTATTGTATTAGTACCATGCAGGATTTATGAACTCTTATGAACTCTTTACAGCTGATTCCTCATAAACGGTGGACCAGGGAGCTCAGGAGGAAGAGAGGCCAGCGGGCACCGGCCCCCCAGGAGCTGGAACTGGCCGAGCTGCCCTCCACCTCCTGGGCCTGGAGGGGGCGCTGCGTCTGCAGGCGTTCGAGGCCTCTCCGAGGCAGCAGCTCCTGCAGAGCAGGGAGAAGCCGTTTAACTGGTCCAGTGAAGCCAGTGACCAGCCCGGCACTGGACCAGCTCTGCTTTAGGAATGTAGTAACATCCTGGCACAACAAGAACAGCCAGGGGAGGAATAAAGGGGGCGGAGTGGGCTGCAACAGGAGCTGCCCCGAGAAAGTGGGGCAGGTGACTCTTGAGAGCGGATCAGGGGTTCAGGGGGTCAGAGGTCAGGGGTCCAGCTGGTGTACCAGAGGGACGGACACCTCAAAAAAAACACCAAGGCGCCCTCCTGGAGCTCCCCAGAAAAGAAGTTCTACTGCTACTGTTGTGTGTTCGTGTCTCGGCGATTCCTTAACGTCTTGGTATCGGACCCCACGCGCGACTAAGCATTTCACTCCACCTGTGCATAGGACACACAACCCGACCTGAGCCCTGAAATGGGGCTGTTCCTCGAGTCACTGACACACCTGTGGTAGCGCACCACCTGCTTTCAAAATCGCCCTCCACAAGCCCGCGGAACAGTGTTGTTGAGCAACACCGGCGTCCCTTCCAGCAACGGGTAAAAAAAAGTAGTTTATTAACTCGGTGCCCTTGTGCAATCGCTCTGCCGTGGCCACTCCAGGCTGTTCGCCCTTGAGTACACATCCACAGGAACACGCATGCACACACACGCCTCTGATACGGACGTCTTGTTTAACCCCGCGTCCCTCCCACTCCGGGACCGGCCCGGGAAAACACGCCGCAGCCAAGCCCAACCACCGCCGGGGTGAGAGTCCACGCGTGTTTACCGTGGCGGGGGGGGGGGAGCTCCGACCCGCCATCCCGCAGGCTGGGACTCTCTGATCCCCCGGTCAGGTGCGGGACTCACGGGGGACCCCAGGGAGACGGAGCCGCGCACCTGACGGGCCTGGGACACAGTGGGATATCGCTTCCTCGGGAGACGACATCTCCTCCGAGCCCCGCCTGACCGGGATATACGGGTCTCCTAAGGGTCTTAGGGTCTCCTAAGGACGACTGACAGCCGAAACGCTCGCATTTTGCACAAAATAACCAGGGGGCTGGGGGGAGCACCACATATAGCCGCTACGCACGTCATTTCAGCCGAAAGCGCGACAGTCCCACGGTCTGGTAACAACCCCCGGTTACAATAGTTACTCAGGACCGCGATAGCTACTCAAGATCAAGCCTTCCTCGCCGAAATCCACCTCTTGCACACCTGAACTCGCGCTTTTCGGCTTCGCGTTTCTGTACTTTTACAAATTGACCCACATCGCGCGTCTGCCGGATACCGAGCTATATAACAACAGGGCTTGTCTACGTCTCTGTCTGTGTGTGCGTGAAATACACACTGCAGCTACGGGCACTCGTGTATCTGTCTCTTTAAGTGCCCCACTACTGAAAGAGTCACGGCCGCTATTACAGTAACCAAGGTGGGTGGGGGGGGAAGGACGATATAAACACGGAATGTCATTTCTGGTGGAGCCGACGCGGCGGGGAGGGGCGAGATTATCCCACGGCCAGCACCCCACGGTGAGGCGGGCGCTTCGGAAAACTGAAATTAGCCACTGAAAACGAGTGACCTTCCCTGGGCTGCGCGAGTGATCCGGGACCCTAAATTCATTTGATCGCAGACGGATAACCAGTGCTCGGTCTGTCCCGTTTCCACGGGCTTTTATTTTGTCTTCCCCAACTTCGCGAAGTTTACTGTGGATTGCTCCCTCGGCTCTACAATGGGGGGGCGCGGGCGGGCGGGGGGTGCTGGAGCACCATGTTTTTGTACGTTGTTTTTTATTTTCCCTGTGTGGAGGTTTGTTTTTTTTTTAATTTCCCCGCGGATCGTAGAGGTTTACTACTGACTCGCGGCTCCGTGCTCACCGGCAGGTCCAGTGCGCCCCAGCTGTAAACTCAAGACGTCCTCCCCAGGCCCCGGCCGGTCCCCGGCCTCTCCCAGCCCCTCCTCCCGCCTTCCAACTTACCTTCCTCTGCTGCTTCTCCCAGGCCGGGTCGAGAAGCAGGTCCCGGTCCCACTCATCGTCCTGTTGCATGTAAGGTTGCGTGCCGCCACCGGAATACTGCTGGTTATTGACGGCGTGGTAATCCACCATTTCTTCTGCGGTGTTTGGTATTTTTTTTTTGTAACTAGGGGGGAAGGGAGGTGGAGGGGGGGGGGATTTTTTTTAAGAAAAAAAGGGAAAAGGAACAAAAAAATAACGAATCGCGGCGGTGAGCGGGGGAGGTTTCTCGCTGCCGAGCTCTCTCTCTGACAAGCCCTTTCTCTCCGGCGCCTCGGTCGCGAAGTCTCCGGAGTGCGAGCTGAGCCAGTCTCTCCGCCCGGGCGGAGCTGCGCGACAGGCAGAGCCGTGGGCTAGGCCCGGCAGCGGGGCGTGCCCACGCCGGCAGAGGCATTCATATTCATGAGCCGGCCCCCTTCTCCCCCCACCGCCGCTCCTGGACCAGAAAAACAAGGCTTGTCTTCGTCGTCGAGGAAACCGCGAAAGCTATTTCGGGGTTGCGCGGAGGGCACGGTGAAGAGCAAAATAAAACCGGGGCTGAGGCCGCCGATCCTCCGCAAGCGACAGCGGAGCAGAACCACCGTTGAAAGGGAGGCGATTTCACGCACTGAGCTACTACTAAGTGCCCCCTTTTGTTTTGGGGGGTACCACCGCTGATGGGGACCCCGCCCCCTCCCCCGGATACCCCCGTGAGATGGTTCCTCTAAACCCCAAAATCGGCCAGTCCGGTATCAGGGTAGACATTTTTTTAACACAATAAACTTTATTCCACAATGAATACAAATCTTACGACGCACCCGCACTCAAACACAGCATTAAATCTCCACAAAGAGGTCAACTAAAAGGACCAGGTCACAGTTTACTCCAGGCTCAAAAGAAAAGAGACGCGACGTTTCGGCTGAAGACGCCCACACCGGGAGAAGGCTCCACAGCCGGAACTTCGCGTCTCTCCTCTTATCCTTCTGGAAGAAAGCTCGATCTGCTCCTCTGCAGGCGAGGCGTGCCCACGCAGAATCCCGCCTGAACTTCTTCTTCAACGGCCTGAAAAGGATGATGGTCAGTTCTCCGGCCCCACGGAGCCACATTCCCACCAGCTCCTGCGGGTCTGTCAGAGCGCCACCCCCCCGGCGAGCCGGGATATCCCGTCAGCCTCTGGCACTGTCAGGAGCTCGGGATCACACTGGAGCTCAGCAGGTGTGAGCCTGGCCAGTATCTGGAGGGGAGACTCCTGGGAAAGCTGAGGTTGCTGCTGGAAGAGGTGTTAGTGGGGCCAGTAGGGGGCGCTCACCCTGGAGTCTGTGTGGGTCCTAATGCCCCAATATTGTGACGGGGACACTATACTGTAAAAAGGCGCCGACTCTCTGTGGTCATTAAAAGTCCCCGGGTGTTTCTCGAAAAGAGTAGGGGTGTTACCCCGGTGTCCTGGTCAAATTTCCCCCTGGACTTTACCAGTCATGGCCTCCTAATAATCCCCATCTCTGAACTGGCTTCATCACTCTGCTCTCCTCCCACTGAGAGCTGGTGTGTGGGGAGAGGACTGGTGCACTATGGCTGCTGTCGCATCACCCAGGTGGGGCTGTACACTGGTGGAGGGGATCCCCATTACCTGAAAAGCGCTTTAATTGGTGTCCAGAAAAGAGCTATATAAGTGTAAGCAATTATTATTATTATTATTATTCTCCCTCAAAATCTTCTCTGTCCAAGACTGAAAAGATTAAGACCCTAGAACAGTTACAAATGACAGGAGGCCCATCTAGCCAGTTTTGTATTTAATTTCTGTTCTTTTATCCTCCTACTAGAGGACATTACTTTCAGTCCGGGACCGTGCGTAATATTGCCCTGGGTAGCACAGCGACTCCCATCTGACACGATACTCTATGTACACGTAAACAGAGCAGGTTTCACCCGTTACGCTCACGGCGCGGCTAACAAATCGCTGTTTTTTTCTGTGAATTTCAGACGCCGGCTCGGACAGCACGTGGCGCAGGCCGCCCGAGGAGCGCGAGGGGGGCGGGCTCGAGCGCCGCCCGGCCCTGGCGGGCGGGGCTGCTGAATCATTCACGATGGCAGCGGCTCGTGAATAATGCATCGCCCCCTGCGCGCCGCGTCCACCCCCCCTCTCCAGGGGGCCTCGGGACCGAGGTTTGAGGTTTAAAATAAACTCACTGGAAATGTCGCTTTCGCGACAGGGCTTTCAGGGCCGGCGACGCACCTTTAGAAGACCTGCGGGCTCAGCGGGGGCGCTTGTGCTGCGTTAGCGATGTTCTCTCCGGCTAAAAACGCCCCCCCTCTGACAACGGTAATGAAGCCCATAAAACTTTCATGGACGCAGACCGCCCGGCCGCTTTGCGGGGAGCGCAAAGTAGGTCACGCTCTCCCGTGCGTGTCGACGCAGATTACCGTCAGCGCGCGTCTGCACGGCCTGCCCGGGGCTCCCCGCGGTATCTGGAGACCCCCGGACTGGGAAAGTGGCCCCTTAAGCTCCAGAGAAGCTCCAGTCTTGTGCCCACGGATTTTAAGCGCCCCGGATATATACAGTGTATATTGTGCCAGATGTGGCGCTGGGCTAAACATCTTTACATCTAAGACCCCACCAAGCCAATCTGTGGACACACGGACACGGACCGTGGGAGAGAAGGTACTGCGGCCTGTTACGCCCGATTCTGTCCCGCGCCCGGACACGCAGGACCCCCCGGGGGGATGGGGGTACAGGCCCCTTCACCGGATTCTCGTCTCCTCCTGCTACACTTGCTGGGAAAAGGATTGGGACAGGGACTGGGAAAAGGATTGGGACAGGGACTGGGGAAAGGGATTGGGACAGGGACTGGGAAAGGGATTGGGACAGGGACTGGGAAAGGGATTGGGACAGAGACTGGGAAAGGGATTGGGACAGGGACTGGGGAAAGGGATTGGGACAGGGATTGGGACAGGGACTGGGAAAAGGATTGGGACAGAGAGTGGGAAGAGGATTGGGACAGGGACTGGGAAAAGGGCGCCCTTTGTCCTCACGGCGGCCGAGACCCCAGATTGCACTGACTAATTTAGTTCATGTGCCGTTTTCACGGGGTCCGATCGCCGACGGGGAGACAGGCCTGCGGCCCCGCGCGTGAACTGGCGGGTCACTCGAGCGCGTCAAGACGGCCCCTCAGGGTCGGGCATGGTCTACGGGCTCTCTAAAACCACCAGAGCAGAAGTGAGTGTACTTCCCTCCTGCCCGTATTTCGGTTCTGCAATTTCCCCGCAGTAAGAGACACGAGGAGCTTTGTGGCCCGACCGCGATTCACGCGACCGCGCGCGCGCTGGGCCGCGACCCGAGAGCGAGGACAGGGTCTGTGGCTCTCGCGGTCCTCCTCGCCTCCGAACTCGCTGCGTTTTCCTCGTGGGGGCGCATCATAACGGGGAGGACTTCACGTTTCGCCCTGTGGGATGATGTAGCTGTAGGAGCTTCATCGAGCCCTTTGGTTTCCCTCCGACTTTGCTTTGCCTGCAGTGAGATCGGAACAGAGGCCATTCTGCCCGTCTGGTTGCAGTTAACGGCTTGGCAGCCTGTTCCACACTCCCACAACCCTTTGTGTAAAGTGCCCCCCCCCCCTTCTCAGTTTTCGAAGCAGCTATCCACAGTTCTCTGGCTTCTTAGTTCACGTCTCACCGTTGATGCCGCAGGCCTTTCTAGTGCAATGCACATCTTTAACCCGCTGCCTGTTATTATGTGGTCCGCGGTGTATCGACCGCGTAACGCGTCATCTAACGCCGTTTCCCTCTTGAATTGCTTCCCCACCTCAGAGGGTGTAACCGCGGCGCTCCACCTTGCTCACGAGCGGCCTCTCCCAGCTCGGTCTTTCTCGGCCGCCGCCAGAGCTCCCGTCTTTGCGAGCTGCATGAAGCACTGCTCGGCTGCCCGAGCTGAATGCCATCTGATATGACTGACCCCCAGATAAGGAGCAGCGCCCGGGGTCAAACCAGTGCAGATCCCCGGCCAGGCAAGGCAGCGAATGAGAAAAACGCCCCAGATGAACTGCGCTCAAGACCCTGCACTGCGGTGAACTCCCAGCAGGGAACAACGGGCTCGACCTCTGGGAGGGATGTGGTTGAAAACCGGTTACTCTCAACATTAATGATGGCAAAACCAGAAGTTGTGGCAAGGATTGAGAGCGGAAGAGGGGAGAAAACGGGAACTTGTTTTTTGGCGAGAGGAACTGGCGGAGTCATTCAGCTCGGCTGTGCCTGGGGGGTCAGCAGGACTGAGCCAGCTGCTGCCCCGGGGTCAGGCAGACTAATGGGGAGCGGACTGGCGCATCACCCAGCTGGGGCTGCACACTGGTGGGGGTGGGGGGGGATCCCCATTACCTGTGAAGCGCTCTGAGTGGAGTGTCCAGAAGAGCGCTATATAGGTGTAAGGCATTATTATTATTATTATTATTATTATTATTATTATTATTATTATTAATGGTAAGTAAACTGAAGTACAGCTCGAAGAGTTTGTCCACACCGCTGTTCACAGCTGGGAAGAGCAGGGAGTCTTGGCTAAATTCCACTCTGGGCTACAGCGTGACCTTGTAAAAGTTCCCCTGAATCCAGCTGGTGAGGTGATCCCTCTCTCCTCCCCCTGGTCTGCTGTGCAGTGGGGCTGCTGGTGCAGAGCAGCTGCCCGATGTTACCCAGGTGGTGCTGCCCCCCAGTGGTGGGTGAAGTAGGTCCATTACTAAGAGTCCCAGGATCCTTCAGGATGATAAGGGCTGTACAAATGCATGTAATTACCATTGCAATGGTGAGCTAAGGTGTCAAGCTCCGGCTGTTTCCCAGAGGGGTAGAGAGTGAAATCTTGCAGGAGGTGAAGGGACAGTGGTCAGATATCTCCAGGGCTACCCTGTCGTGTGCCCCGTAAAACCTATTCCAGTCACACACGGTCCCCAGCATGTGACCTGGGCAGAAAACGCAAGAGGGTTTGCAGTTGCAGGAGATGGAGGTGCACCTGCGGGGTCATGAACTCTGGGGTGGGGCCAGTCAGTGGGCGGGGACAGGCCTCCCAGACCCTTGTCATGTGACTAGAGTGGGATCTGAGATTTGCTGGCATAAGTAACAAGGAAATAATCTGTGGTAAAAAAGGATATTTTATTAATTAAGGGTCGGGGAAAAGAGAAACCAAAACCTAAAGCATCTCCATGTTCAAAACCAAAAACTAGGAAACCATAATAACCAATACTTCCTGTTTACCTTTCTTCTGCGTCCCCAGTTCAGAAGGGTTGATTTGTGCTTAGTCTCCCCCTTGTGGTCACATCGTGCCGCTACAGTTTTGGGAAGGCTTGCTCTTCGCAGGATTTGATCCTGATTTGATTGTTATTTCTAAATCTTTAAGTTTCTAAAACGTGTCCAGCTCAAAGAGACTCTTCATGGCTGGGGACACTAAGTTAACTGAAGAATTGATTGGCTTAATTATTCATTAAGGAGCCACAGCTTTTTCTCCCCCCAAAAGATCTTTACATTCCAGAACTGACCTGACCACAGTTAAATTGTTGAAAGGCTTTTGAAACAGAGAGTTTACTGGCTGCCTATAAAACCTGCTGGACTGGAGCTCCAATGAACCCCAGAGTTACAGGACAGCTAGTATCACAACATCGTCCAGCATTTCTGGCCAAGGAGGCGAGGGGGGAACTGGCCACCAGGCAGTGATCAGAATGATCAGAGATTCAGACCACAAACAACTAGGTCACGGACTTCAAACTTTATTTTTTTCCCCAAATATAATCCTTTAAAATTGAGCATGTTTAGTGTTTTGCACAGCCAGTGAAGGACGCGCCTGTCTGATACGAGCCGATGCCTTTCGACTCAGGACAGTGCAAACTGCTGAAGGAAATAGGAGTGTTGTTGCATGCCTGAGCTGAGGGGGTCTTCAGTCTTTGGGGGGCCAGTGTTTGTGCAGGTCTTCACTCATCACTTCTTTTCGGGCTCATCACAGTCTTCACTGGATCAATCCAACAGCTGCCCCCAGCTCTGAAGGTGCTGCTAATACCCCTAAAGAAACAGCAGCCCCTCCAAGACCAGGGCAGAACTTCTGCCCGACTTTATCATGTTGTATCCAGGTCTTTCTCACCTGACATTCAATCAGAATTAACAAAGGGTTTCACTGCCTGCTGCTGGCCATCCCTGACTGAGGTGCTCTGTCATCCTGTGGGCAGGAGTGGGGGGCGGGGAGGGGGGCAGGTGATCGCTGTGATGTCTGAAGGCAGGGTGGTGGACGGGATGTAGAAAATCAGCATCTGTCCACTCCACAGCGGGGCTGCGGGGGGGCTCAGTTGTACATGGTACTGTGGAGCCACTGCAAGAGGCAGAAACAGTGTTAGCACCAGAGAGCGCTACTCCAGGATGACAGACTCTGAGGCCCCCAGTTGCGTCTGCTTCAGATAGAGAACACTGGCACCTCGTTAGTCTCGTTAGTCAAGGCTTAACTGGAAAGCGGCACTGGTGTCAAACACCCACCGCCAGCAAGATTCCCTGCTGTGGGTAACACTATAGCACAGCGAGGTTCCTGTTTAAGGGACTGCTGTGTTTTTGCCTGCTCTGTTCTGTGCTTAGTGCTGTGTTGCACAAGTATTTCCCCCACGACCAGTCTAATATACCCAGGCTCCTGCAACAGGACCCTCACACTCACCTGCCTGTAGTGGAGGGTGATGGTCCCATTTCCCAGCGTATGGAAGGAATGAAACCTCCCTGTGGGAAAACGGACACAAATCACGCGTCTCCTCATACTCTTCACAGCACACAGCACCTCACTCCGAGCCCGAGTCTTCCAGGTTTCATCAGCACTGCCTACTCTGAGTGTCCGGCACTCTCAGCAATGCATTGAAACAAGTAGCCATTACAGATTAACCTCTCAGAGGACTCCGCGACCTCCCTGGTGCTTGCGAGACCGCAGTGCTGTCAGTGAGTGACGCGCCTCCCCTCCTGTTTGGCGCTGTGGCCCGTAAGGCCGGTGAATTAAGCTGAATGACCTGAAGGTGGGCGTGTCACAGGAGTGTGCCTACACTTCCTTATTCTCCCCGTGTGCGGCTGCAGGCTTTACAACAATGACAATAATAATAATTGTTAATAAGTGAGATGGGGATTATTAGGAGGCCATGATTGGTAAAGGCCAGGGGGGAATATGGTTTTACCTTCCCATTCTCCTGAGTTCTCACTCTCTCATTTTCTTTGTCAGTGTCTCACCTATCATGATGTCCAGTTTAAGCAGGAGGTGCAGGAATCCTGGGTAGCTGATGGTCAGGTCGGGGTCAGTGTATCGCAGGCCGATCAGCTGCAACACGAAATCATCAACCTGCAGCCCTAGACAGAAGCAAACAAACGGTGATCACTGCTCCCAGACAAGCTTTGAAAGCGCCAGATAGCGAGCAGGGGCCTGCAACCCTGGTCCCTGGGAGCCGAAATCCAGCTGTTCTTACAGGTCGTTCGAAACAGGACAATCTACATCACCTGTTTTTTTTTAAGGATTGGAAACATCCATTTGCTCAATTAAGAGCAAATTGGTCTTTAGGGACCAGAAGGTATGACGTCTTTTTGGTATGAAATAATCACTAAATTCCTTGTTTAAGTAATCACACTTAGTCTGGGGCTTTAGAAATTGCTGATTTAAGCATGGCCCATTAAACCTCTGTTTTCAACGGTAAGAGAAAAATTCTCGGAATGAATTCCTCTTTATTCCTGCAGGCGAGGACGTTCCTGACCCCCCTCATGGCTGAAGCCTGCTCATTCACATGGTAGCTCCAGCAGGCCGAGGATTCAAGCTGGCAGCTCCGGCCTGGGCTCCGCGCCTCGTACCTGCAGCCTGCAGGGCAGGGATGATCTCGGGGTAATCCAGCGACTGGGACCTGTTCTTGTCAAAGTGCACAAAGATATCCTGACGATGAGAAAAAAACAAAACAGGAACAGCTTCTGCGAGAGCCCTTGTGTGAAAATAAACACAGGTTACAGATCCACTCAAACAAAGGCTAAAATCTAGTAGGTACAAACATTTAATGGACGACTACTGGAAACAGAGCTTGACAACTGGACTGGACAACTGCAGCTGTGCTGCAAACGATCGGGCTGTCTTACCGTCCACTTCCTGAACTTCTCCCACAGGGCCTCAAACTCCTCCATCTCCAGCCTGCCGAGTCCCCGGGTCTGTGCCATCACCACGGTCAAGGATGACCACTGCTCTCCCCAGCCCTGCCCCACCTACAGCGACTGCAGCAACTGCAGCTCCCAGAGAGACTGCAGTGACTGCAGCATCTGCAGCTCCCAGAGAGACTGCAGCGACTGCAGCAACTGCAGCTCCCAGAGAGACTGCAGCGACTGTAGCTACCGGACAGACTGCAGCTCCTGGAGAGACTGCAGCTACCAGACAGACTGCAGCTACCAGACAGACTGTAGCTACCAGACAGACTGCAGCGACTGTAGCTCCCGGAGAGACTGCAGCTCCTGGACAGACTGTAGCTCCCAGAGAGACTGTAGCGACTGCAGCTCCTGGAGAGACTGCAGCTCCTGGAGAGACTGCAGCTCCTGGAGAGACTGCAGCTACCAGAGAGACTGCAGCTCCCAGACAGACTGCAGCTCCCAGAGAGACTGTAGCAACTGCAGCTCCTGGAGAGACTGCAGCTACCGGAGAGACTGTAGCGACTGCAGCTCCTGGAGAGACTGCAGCTACCGGACAGACTGCAGCTACCGGACAGACTGCAGCTACCGGACAGACTGCAGCTCCCAGAGAGACTGTAGCGACTGCAGCTACCAGACAGACTGCAGCTACCAGACAGACTGCAGCTACCAGACAGACTGCAGCTACCAGACAGACTGCAGCTCCTGGAGAGACTGCAGCTACCGGACAGACTGCAGCTACCGGACAGACTGCAGCTACCGGACAGACTGCAGCTACCGGACAGACTGCAGCTACCGGACAGACTG